CCATTTAAGCGAGAAAAAGAAAAAAGAAAGATGTCTACACATCGACAGAAAAGAACAAACTTCTCTATGCGTGGAATGTAGTCCACGTCCACGTTCCACGCGTTCAGTTATTTTTGATGGCTTCCCTTACAGATGTTGAACTTTTCTCTTTAAAATAATACTCTTCTCGCTACCTTTACCAGATTTTCGACTAGAGTAGGATCATACCCAAATCAATAATCTTAAACATACATTACCTCTATTAATTGTAATAACGATTGTTCATCAATTGATTTCCTTAATTGATCGTTTTGTTCTCCATTTGTGAACACCTTATTCAAAAAATACGTTTGTTTGTATTCCTGACGTAGTTTATCTGTTAAACCAAGTTTGTTTTCAATTAAACGAAACTGTAAACTTTGAAAACCACTTGCTGGTGTTACATAGCTACGAAATGATAAAAAGGTTAATGGTGTCATTGTCGTTTCTAATAAGTGTAACTGTTCTATTAATATTTGCCATATTTTAACACAACGTACTAATCGTGATATAATTAAAACATTTTGTGTTTCATCATATTTTGTTTTTATTAATACTTCACGTATTGAATCAATTTCGAATATAAATTGCTTAAACCATAATTCAAATGCTATTAAACATAAAAAAAGATTTCTGTTTGTTAAGCTACAAAATACGAATGACTTCGTGTGATGTATACATTCAATGAGATTTAACTATCGAAGAACAAATTGTACAGTGTGCTACTTTAAAGAGAGCATAAAAGCTGATTCAATTTGAAGAATGTTGCGACAACAATGTGCAGACCATTCAGCAATACGCAACGGATTCGGTCCATGCTCAGGTATAGAAACTGTCTCCTTACAAATTTCTACTTCCAGCATCTTCGGTTTTTTAAGGCTCAATGCTTTTATATTTACCTTGATGTAATATGATGAAGAAATGTTCATCGTGCACAGGTTTACCATCTGACTCATTACTAACACTTAAACATGACAATGAGCTTAAAAGCTGGTCTAAGCCCAAATATGTTATATAATTTAGTGTTTCCTTGGCTGTGTGTGATTTTCTTGGAACCACTGGAGTTTCATCAGGATCAGGACCAATGATTTCGTCTAAAGCATTTCGGCCTTCCGTATAGTTAATATTCTGTACTGGTATTTGTTTTTGTATATTATTGTTGGCATATGGACAAGACATATTTGCGTTAAGCTACCAATGAAATAATTGCTAAGAAAAAAGTGTTTTTTGAAACAACGGATCTGCAAGAAACAAGTAAATACATAGAGCATGTTGGTATAAACTTTATTTATTTAGAAGAAATGTTGAAAAAATCAGTAGAAATTATGAGAAGAAGGAGGCGAATCCATTACATCTTAACATAAATTGACTGAGGACAAAGGACAGCACTAGAATACATGTATAAAAACAATACACGGCGACAACATTTAAGACTAATGAACGAGAGAATAGCTAATGAACGAAGAGGATAGAAGGATATCGGGAAATTAGAATCTTTGTGTGTCGCGAATAAATGTAATTACGATATTATATAGTTCATTCATTTCTGTAACGTTTAAAGATGGTGCAGGTTTGAAAAACAGTATGTGTTTAAGAGTGAGGGTATCATTTACTAGAGCATTCAAGTCATTTTCAAAGATACTTCGTCTCCGCTGGTAATATTGACACTCCAGAAAGAAATGCTGTACTGTTTCAGCCTTCCCACAAGCACACTGAGAGCTACTAACTAAGTTTTTTTTATAGAGATCATCATTCAAGCGAGAAAACTTTACGCGCATTTGATTGAGAATCATGTCATATTTTCTTTCAATGTTTTTGAATCTCGGTCATTTATAGTAGGGAAAAAAATAATCGTTTATGACAGAACGGAATTTTCT